CGTAAAAATAAATAAATTGAAAAATAATTTAAATAGATAAATATAGAAATAAAAAAAATCCGCAAATACTTGCAAAGTAAGTCCTCGAATACTGTCCTCATGTGAAGAACAATGACACCTATAACAAGTGGCGTTTAGGAAGAGATTGCTGTGCCACTCCTGCTGAGTTACAACCTCTATCGGTTTCACGTTAAGTGTCGACTTTATATTTGTGGTTAATTATGATATTTATATAGTGGTGTCATTAAGCTTACTCGGAGAGTAAAATCATAGTGGTTTGTCACGAGGGAGGGGGGAGGAAGGGAGGGAGGGGTGGGAAGGGGAGAGAGAGGAGGAGAAGGAGGTAGGTAGCCGGAGAAGGAGGGAGGGGATGAGGGGAGGGATGCAGGTAGGAAAGAGGAAGAAGATCCGGGAGAAGGATGAAGAGAGAGAGAGAGAGAGAGAGAGAGAGAGAGAGAGAGAAGAGAGAGAGAAGAGAGAGAGGAGGAGAGAGGAGAGAGGAGAGAAGAGAGAGAGAGAGAGAGGAGAGAGAGAGAAAGAAGAGAAATGGAGAAGAAGGGGAAGAGAGAGAGAAGAGAGAGAGAGAGGAGAAGCGAGAGAGGGAGAGAGAGAGAGAGAAGAGAGAGGTGAGAGAGAGAGAGAGAGAGAGAGAGAGAGAGAGAGAGAGAGAGAGAGGAGAGAGAGAGAGAGAGAGAAAAGAAAGAGACAAATGAACGAGGCAAGAGAAAGAAGAAAAAAAAAAGAAAGAGAGAAAAAGATAAAGGATCGAGAAGAGTGCAAAGAAAGAAGAATAAAGAGAGAAAGACAGAGAAAGGATGAAAGAGGAGGTAGCAAGAAGGCAATAAATTAAGCAGAGTTGGCGAGTGGGCGTGTTTTAGTGAGTGGGAGGGGGAGATAAGGGGGGTGAGGGGAGGGGGGAAGAAAGTTGTTGGTTGAAGGGGGAGGGGAGGAGGGAGGAGCGGGGGGGGGGGAGGGGAGGCTTGGGGAAGGGGTAGGGGAGAGGAGGGCTGGGGAAAGAAGGAAGGGGAGGAAGGGGGAAAGGGGAGGGGAGGGGGGGAGGGGAAGAGGGAAAGGGAGGGGAAGAGGGGGAAGGGGATGGGGAGAGTGGGGGGGGGGGAGCTGGCCGTATAATGATGGATGGAACGTCAAAGAAGGAGATGGAAAGTGATGGAAGATGAAGAATAGAGTAAGAAGAGGTCTGCGATAAGAAGATGAGAGGCATGGAAGGAGAAGAAGAAAAAGGCGAAAGAAAGAGACGAAAAAAGAAAGAGAAAGAAAGAGAAAAAGAGAGAAAGAGAAACAGGATGAAAAGGTTGAATAAAGAGACGAAAGAGAGAATCAAAAGAAGAGACGAAAGAGAGAAAGAGAGAAGAAGAGAAGAATGGAAAGAAAGAGAATAAACAGGACGAAAGGGTAAAATGAGAGACTAAAGAGAGAATGAGAAAAAAGAGAGTGAAGAGACGAATAAGAGAATGAAGAAGCGAAAGAAGCGAATTGGGAGAAAGTGAACAAGAAAAGGAAAAGACGAAAGAGAGAATAAAAGGGCGAAGTCAGTAGAGAGACAGTAAGAGAAAGAAGCATGAATGAATAAGAATCAATAATGATGATGGGAATGATAATGATAATGATAATAATAAAGATAACAGTAAAATAATGAGATGATGTTATGAAATGATATAAAAAATTGATAATAATAGTATTGANAGAGAGAGAGAGAGAGAGGAGAGGAGAGAGAGAGAGAGAGAAGAGAGAGAGAGAGAGAGAGAGAAGAGAGAAGAGAGAGAGAGAGAGAGAGAGAGAAAAGAGACAAATATGCAAGAGAGAAGAAAGAAAAAAGGAAAGAAGAGAAAGATAAAAGGGATCGAGAAGAGTACAGCAAAAAGAAGAAATAAAGAGAGAAAAGACAGAGAAAGGATGAAAGAGGAGGTAGCAAGAAAGGCAATAAATTAAACAGAGTTGGCGAGTGGGCGTGTTTTAGTGAGTTGGGAGGGGGGAGATTTAGGGGGGGGGGGGGGTGAAGAAAGTTGTTGTTTTGAAGGGGGGAGGGGGAGGAGCGGGGGGGAGGGGAGGCTGGGGGAAAGGGAGCGGGGAGGAGGAGGGCTGGGAAAGAGGAAGGGCGGAGGAAGGGGGAAGAGGGGGAGGGGGAGGGGAGCAGGGTGGGGGAGGGGGGGGAGCTGGCGTATAATGATGGATGGAACGTCAAAGAAGTGAGATGGAAAGTGATGAAAGATGAAGAATAGAGTAAGAAGAGAAGTCTGCGATAGAAGATGAGAGGCATGGAAGGAGAGAAAGAAAAAGGCGAAAGAGAAGAGACGAAAGAGAAAAGAGACGAAAGAATGAGAAGAATAAGGGAGAAAAGAGAAAAAAAGAGAAACAGAGATCGAAAGAGAGAATGAAGGTAAAGAGAGAAGAGAAGCGAAGGAAAAGAGACGAAAAGAGAGAAAGAGAAAGGAGAAAAGAATGAAAGAAAAGAGAGAAAGATAAACAGGACGAAAGGTAG